TCAAACCTCCCCTCCAGTGCCTTTTGCCAGCTGAAGCGATGAGGTGGGGGAGTCAGCTCAGAGCCTGATGCACCCAGGAGGTGAGGGGCTTTGGGGTGGTGGGGCTGGTCTCCTCGGTGCTTTCCTCCGGGGCGAGGTGTTGGGTGATACAGGGATAAAGCAAAGCCAAGCACAGGGGACTGGCAGGCAGCAGGGCAGCCCAGGATAAAGTGCTCCCAGCTCTGGCAGTCACCAGCACCACTCCAGCCCCGCTCCTGACTGGTGATTTTGGGGTCAACTGCCTTGAAAAGAAAGTAGGTAAGCAGTTGTGATGTATCTGGTTTATAGAGGGAGAGACAGATAAGGTATGGCACGCGGGCGTAGATGTGTTGGGATGAATATCTGCCAGGGCCTGGGCAGATAACTGCCTGCTAGAACAAGGGGCACAGTTTTTCCAAGAACTGTTTGCAGTCAAGAGCTTGGCCCTGGGGACAGATGGCTGGGTCCTGTCCCAGCTCTGCCACTGCATCACTGCAGGACATGGTCAAGTCACTTCGCCTCCAGGTTGTCGTCTTACTGAAATCAGGTGAGGAGGAGGAACTGGTGGTGGACACGTTTAAATGCTAAGAGAGACCTCTCTGAGGGGCTGCTGTGGGAGTAGTGGTGACAACTGCTGTGTTGTCCCTGACCTGGCCCACACACCAGGGCCAGACCTTCTTCGAGCAGCAGCTCCTGAGCTGCATCCACTGTGCCAGACCCACCAGGGTCCATCGGCCACTGGGCAGCAGGTTCTGCCCACAGGTAGGGTGACACCAGCCCCCTCGGAGGGCTGGGTGAAGCTGGAGTGAGCAGCCTCGAGTGCGACGTGTGCTGCTGCATTGGGGCAGGACGCTGAGCCTGGAGGAGAGAAGGGAGACCAAAGACAGAGCAGCTCCCCGTGGGGACACCGGCTGCGAAAAGAGAAGCTGATCCGAGAGAGGAACAAGGTTTGGCCATTTGGGTGGCTCATGAGGGTGTCTGCAGTTGGGTCTGCTGGGCAGCCCTCCCTTGGGAGGGGACATTTCACCCGTGCCTGGTGCAGCAGGTGCTTTCAGCACGTGGCAGCAGCAGGAATGGCTGGGGGACGTGCCGTGGCTCTGCCAGCACAGATACCTGCTGTGGTCCTTGGGGGCCTCTGGAGCCCTGTCCCAGAGCAGCCCAGGAGCGTGTTGTCATGCTCCCGTGATGGGACAGGGTTTTGGTGGGGCTCAGTGGCGGATGCAGGGAGAGCTGTCCAAGGGTGGAAACCCTGTGGGGTGTTAGTGGGCTGTGGCTTCGGGTGTTAGGAGCTGGGAAGTGATTTAGTTCTTGCAATTAGGCCTTCTGCCTTGGTTTAATGGCTTTCCTGCATCCGAGTGAAAATGGCCGAGGGGGTTTAGGCACAGGAGTCTGCTCTGATGGGGTTTTGCTTTGCCTTGGCCTCACCTGTGTGTCCGGAGCAGCCAGTCTGAGGGATCTCCCTGTGAGATGCTGGTCTGCTCCCTGCGTGGGGCACAGAGCTGGGCACCCCAGGACCTTCTCGGCCAGAGATTTTGGAAGGTTTTATTTAGCATGAGTGAGAATTTATTGGAGAGGAAATAGGGTGTGTTTGTGCTCTGCAGGGCAAGGACCTGAGGCAGGGGCTTGGGGCAGCCCCGGTGACAGGGCTCCCCCCGTCCCAGCCGAGCCGAGGGGCTCCCCGGGGCGACATGGTTGCAGGGAGAGAGGGGAGAGGGGCAGCAGACACCCCGTCACCCCCCGCAGCTGCTCTTTGCTGCCTTTCCAGCACCTCAGCTGCGTTTTACACATCCTGCATCCAACCTGGCAGGTCAAACAGCCTGCTCATCCACCAGCAGATAACCGTATGGGGAAGCCTGGATGCCCTTCAGGGAGGGAGACCTGCTTCAAGTGAGCCAGTCCTGCTCCCGGGCTGTCCTCAGCCAAGCTGCTCAGCTCTGGGATGAGGAGAGTGGAAACACCACTCAGAAAATGGGAACAAGGCTCTGACCCCACCACGTATGGGACCTCCACCTGCCTGAGACAGTCCCTGTCCTGCCCGAGGTCAGGGAGTAGGAGCAGAGGCTCCACACTTGTCCTTGTCCCCGCGTGGGGAGAGGTGTCCGTGTCTCTGTGCCTGTGCTGAGGGTGAGTGTGTTTGCAGCCAGAGCTGCCCCGGGGGTGATCTCTGGGGTGCCAGCAGCCCCTGGGGTGTGGGTACCAGGTCCCTCTGACCAGTGCAAATGGTGTTGGTTTGCCCGTGGTAGAGGCTGGCTGAGTGGGACAAAATAACAGTTGGCAGAATTTGGGCAGAGGACGAGGGATGAGGCCGGGCAGAGACATCACCCGTGGGGTGAGAGTTGGTCTCGGGGCTGGGAACCAAAGCTGCTGCCCAGGAACCATTTAGGGCTCTGGGTCTTGTGCCCGTGGTGACCAGTGGGTGTGTGTCTGTCCTGTCGAAGGCTGTTGCTCGGCGCCGTTCAGGGATGCCCTGGCTCTTGAGAGCCTCCTGACCATCCTGGATGTGCCAAGCCCTGGGCAATCACAGCTCAGCAGCAGATGGTGGGCCCCAGGGTGTGATTGTGCATCCATCTGCCCTCATGGCTCCTTCCTCGGGGCCGGGAGCAGACTGTGAGTGGAGGGAGCCAAGCGCTCTGCGCCTTGTCATATTTGGGCATTTTAATTAGAAACGTGCAGTCCTGGGGCACGGTTTGGCTGGGGCAGGGCTGGAGGGAGCCTGGCATCAGCGTGCCCTGTGGCACCCCACGTCCCAGGCTGGCACAGCACAGGAAAGCCCTAATACTGGCCCACGGGCACCAGCCACTTGCCCCTCCGGGTGCCACCGTACCAGGAGGTAGCCAGGCATGCAGCCAGCCCCGTCCCGCACTTGGCACGCACTGGCTGCTCTTCCTAATGATTCGGAGCATCCGTTCCTCTCCCGGGCACGTTTTGAGCAGAGATCATGACATGGGAAATCAGAGGGTCCCTGGCAGGATGCACCCTGGGGGGGATCTGGTCTCTGCTGGGGGGAAGCCCCGAGGTGGGGGCTCTAACCGTCGCGCTGCCCGGCTCTTCCCTGAGAGGCAAAACTTCTCCCGTGGACCCGGAGCTGCTCCGACTCGCTCCATGTGGCTGCGGGGAAGCGAGAGGGAGGTTTGGAGTGAATGAGCCGACGTCCTCCTCGAGCCCGAAATTTGGGTCACGCAAGCCAACAAAGCAGAGCTGTGAGATGTAGTTCATCCTCGGTTCAAGCCCGAGCAAGCTTTGATTTCCAAGGTGCAACTGTTGATGGTTCAGAGGGTCCGTCTGAGCCGGTATTTCGTTAGCAGATCGGCACGTGGGAAGAGGTGAGAAGGGTTTTTCCCCTCCCTGATCAGCTCCCACATTGCTAATGTTCCTCTCTGGCCCGCTGCTAATTTTGACGCTGCCCTAAATAGAAGCTGAGAGCATCTCATCTGCTTCGCTTCGCATACGGGGAAATCGTTTCCCTTCAGTTACTGAATCCAACTTGTGGCTTTAACCCTGTCAGCACAAGGCTCTCCCCAGCCCAGACCTCCCTTAAAGGGCTTTGGGTGCCTCTGTCCCGGGGAGGACTCTCTGCTGGGAAGGGAGGAGAGAACGTGCTGGGAACATGGGAGGAAAGGGAGGGCTCCCCGTCGGCCACCAGCAGAGCTGGGAGAGGGGCTCTGCTTCATGCACAGCTGAGGAGAGATCCCTTTCTCAGCTGAAAGGTGCTCCGGGCTGTCCCTGTCTCTCTGGTGGGATGTGCTGCTCCCCAGGAGGTCCCAGCACCCCTTCCCAAACTGGCCTTCCCCAGCCCCGTGCTGGAAAAATAGCTCAGCGCAGGCAGACCCCGTCGTAGGGCTTTTTAGTTGGTTTCTGTTGTGGTGTTTTTTCCAGCATCTGGTGGGACCAGCTCAGCACGTTGGCTTCCTGAGTCTGGCAGATGCCCCTCTTATCACTGTCTAATTTTACATCCCGTTCATCCCGAGTGGCTCCTCGGGAAGATCAGCTCTTCCTGCGCCGCCGGGTTCGCTCTCTCCCAGTTCGGGACGCGGCGCCTTCGGCTGCCCCCAATGCCAACCCCTCTGCAGCGCGGCATAAATATATCCCTGTCTAGTGCAAGGTGCTTATTTGGGGCTCTCATGCAAGAACCGTTTCCCTGAAAAACTGTAATTTTGCGGCATTTGCAGCTCGGTGACTGTTAGAACCCGTGGTGCGCTGAGGGCACAGGGGCACCGGAAGGAAGCACTGGGAGAGCGGGGGCAGTGACCCACAAAGGTTAAATTTAGGTGATTAGGAAGGACGGCTGGGCGCTGGCATCCCTGAGCTGGAGCTGAGCCTCGGCTGGGCACACAATGACACTCCAGCCAGGGCATCCACACGGTTCCCCCTCGTCCCTCGCACTCCTGACCACGGTCACTCTCTGAACCCACCCCTTTGCCAGCCCAAAGCTCCTCTCCCCGGTGGAGCTGTGCCAGGGTGGATGCTCTCCCCTTTCCTCCCTCTTTCCCTTTCAGCCTCTGGTTTGTTCTGAGCACTCGAGACGCTCTGCAGCAACAGAGGCTGCTCTGCGTGAGGTTTGTCTGCTTGTTGGTAGGAGCCTGGCTCTGGTTTGGGGCTGCAGAAGTGCCCAGACCCTTGGGGGACAGCAAGGGCTGCCCAGACCAGAGCAGCTCTTCACCCTGCTCCCACTCAGGGATCCTTGCAGGAAGAGGGGACCTTCGTGTGGCCTCCTCTGGAGGATGGTGTTAATATTGTCCACACCAAAGGGTTGCAAGAGAAAAAGGGAGAGGCTATTTCAGAGCCAGGGGAACAGAGGGACCAAGTAGCAGTGACCCCCGGCAGGCTGTGGGGCTTGGCAAGCTGTGGGCACAGCCAGGAGCCAGCCTGAAACGGAGCAGGAGAGGGCACACGTTGCTGACCCCACGCCAGACGGAGCGATTGGACACGGGGGGGTTGTTTGGGGCGTTCTGACTCAATTCTGCATTTCACTGTCTTTCCAGAAAATCAACCGGACCCCTTCGGATGAGGAATGTTTCTTTGACCTGCTGAGCAAGTTCCAGAGCAACCGGATGGATGATCAGCGCTGCCCCTTGGAAGAATGCCCGTCGGAGGCTGCAGAGGCGGCTGCCACCCCGGTCCCTGCCCTGGAAGAACGGATCTGTAAGCACTGATGTGTTTCTAAGTCACTGTTACTCTGGGATTGATGCGGCTCCCGTGGTTGTGGCCAGCTGTCGGGCTTTTACTGGGAATCTTGTGATGCTTTCCCCGAGCCTCAGTTCCCTGAACTTAGCAGTTTTTTGGCAATCTCTGTCGTTATTTAAGGAAGGAAGGAACATTCTTATGTTAATGGTTGCTGAGGGAAAGGCTGGAGAATGTGAACTAAGGCTTAGAGAGTAAATTAGCAAGAGAAATGCAAAATATAGTTGGATTTTTTCAGTATGGAACTTTTAGAAGGTCTTGGTTTCGGAATGGTGAGGTTGGCACGAGGAGCTCTGCCTCTGCCAGCATCTCCTGGAGGAAGATGGTGATGGTCATTACTGAGGGGGCCTTGTGAGAGCCTGGAGCAGGCGGAGGGCTGGGGTGGGCTTTCACAGGCCAGTTCAAGTGCTGCCAGTTTTTCTCGTAGCGTTGCCGTGGAGGAAAAACTTCTGGATTTTGTACAGCTCTTGGATGCTGCGGTGATAGGTGCTGTGCAGGAGCAGGGAAGCCAGGAGGCTGGATAAACAGTGGGAAGGTCCAGCAGGCAGACAGCTCGCTCGCCCGAGGGAAGAACAGGGATAAATGGAGGAAGCTGTCTGACAAATAGATGGGACAGGAAAGGCAGGGCAGGTCTGTGTTTGCACTCCGGGTTCGTGTCTTTTTTTTATTAGACGGTGTCGAGGTGCTTTGTTTAAACCAAGCTGCAGAGAAGCACTAAAACGTGCGGGTCACGCTCGCACGCTTAAGCACCATCACAAAGGGCTCCAAATAACTTCAGTGGAACTGATGGGTTTGTTTATTGTTTTCCCAATGAACACGAAGTACAAACGGGAGAGGAGGAGACCCTTAATGTCCCTCTGGGCACAGGGAGAGCCACAGCACAAGGCTGCCCGGGCATAGTAGGTGCCAGGAGCAGGGGCTGAGCGGCAGCGAGAGCAGGGCAGCGCAGGGAAGGTCAGGCTGTGGCAGGAAGGCAGGTTGGCTGTGAGCTGAGCAGGTTTTTAGCCGCTAAAAATAGGATGGAAATGAGCCTCACTTTGTCAAGATACACATTTCTGATACAGAAGTGCATTTGGCTGTAACAGCTGTGTAATTTAGGAGACTGAGTTTAAAATACGAAGCTTTATAAAGAATGTACAAGTAGGCACACGTTCTGTTCAGCTCTCATTTGGTCTCGGAGCCTTTCAGATGTGTTATTTTCAAGGTTTCATTGTGAGCTGAAGGGGAAGAAACTCATCTTCGTGTCAGCGCTGAGATTTTTGTGGAGTTGCAGAAAAGCACGAACTGGGGCTCTAAAAGGAGCACGTCGTGTCGGGAGGCTCAGGGCACCCTCTGCTCAAGTGTTTTGTGCTCCCTGGGACTATCGGGCTGGGTTTCTCACCACTTTATTTTGCTTCTCCCTCTCCCAAGCGCAGTGTTTGGGAGCGTTTCGCTGCCCAGGAGCCCACAGGCTCTTTCCACCCAGTGCTGCCCGTTTCCAGGGCCGGGGGCTGACCCGTTTGCTCGTGTGCTGTGTCTGAAATCCTCCCTCTGTCCCATTATTGCTCTGTCCCGTGCCAGCCAACGTGGTGCCACCCGGAGCAGGCGTGCCAGGGCTGGGGACGCCGCCTGCGCATGGCTGAGCTCCAGGAGCGAGTGGTTGTGAGATGGGACAGTAGGTTTTTGCTGCCCGTAACACTTGTTGGTTTGATGGTAGGTTTTTTTTTGCTCACTTGTGCTGCCAGCACTGGCGTCGTTCCTGTTCCCCCGGGCAGGGTGGCAGGAGATGACAACAGGCACACAAGAAGCCAGCCTCCTGCCTGGCTCAGCCCCGGGAGGCTGCACAGCCAGCCCCTGTCCCAGTTGCAACTGGGACAAGTTGTCCCTGTCCCAACTCTGCAGCCCGGTTGGTTGAACAGCAGTTTGGTGATGAGGGTTTGGGTTTTCTGCAGCCCCGCGGAGCTGCAGCCCAGGCAGGAGCAGAGCTGTGACCCCGGCGTGTGCTCCTCTCTCCTCTCACAGCACAGTCCTCCCTGATGGCGTCTCCGCAGACGGAGGAGTTCTTCGATCTCATCGCCAGCTCCCAGAGCAGACGCCTGGATGACCAACGGGCCAACGTGGGCAACCTGCCAGGCCTGAGGATAACACACAACAACCTGGGGCACCTGCGTGTGGAGGGGGACGCCCAGGAGCCCGGGGACGAGTTCTTCAACATGCTCATGAAGTGTCAGGTACCGGAGCGGGGCTGGGTGAGCTGCCAAGACGGGGGACACACTAGTTTCTCCCACACAAACACCATCCCCTGATGCCACCTGCCCTGCTGGGAGGGGCTTTGGCCATCAGTCACCCACCCACAGCCCTGGGCATCCAGGCAAGTATTTGCCTTTGCTTCCACATCCTTCATCCACATCCACAGCAGAGGGCCACGAAGATGATCAGAGGGCTGGAGCACCTCTCCTATGAAGACAGGCTGAGGGAGCTGGGGTTGTTCAGCCTGGAGAAGAGGAGGCTCCGGGGAGACCTTAGAGCGGCCTTTCAATACCTGAAGGGTGCCTATAGAAGAGCTGGGGAGGGACTCTTTGCCAGGAAGGGTAATGATAGGACAAGGGGAAACGGTTTTAAATTGGAAGAAAAAAGATTCAGATTAGATCTCAGAAAGAAATTTTTTACTATGAGGGTGGTGAGACACTGGAACAGGTTGCCCAGGGAAGTTGTGGCTGCCCCATCCCTGGAGGGGTTCAAGGCCAGGTTGGAGGGGGCTTGGAGCAACCTGGTCTGGTGGGAGGTGTCCCTGCCCAGGGCAGGGGGGTTGGAAATCGATGATCTTTGAGGTCCCTTCCAACCCAAACCATTCTATGATTCTTTCTACCCTGTACTGGGGACTGCGCTTTGTCACCGCTTTACGAGCGAGCGGGAGCCTGGAGAACCCCCCTCTTCCGTGGGGTGCCCACCCCCTGGGCTGGGTGACAGCTCTGCCCTGAGGCTGGAGCCCACAGCAGCGTGCAGCCCGGCTGGTCCCACTGCCCTGCACCCCCGGATGGGGAGAGGGGACACCTCCTGGGCACCACTCCCAGCCCTGACGCCTGTTCTCCTCCCCGTGCAGTCCTCCAGGATCGATGACCAGCGCTGTGCCCCCCCAGACTCCATCCCCCGCGGCCCCACGATGCCGGATGAAGATTTCTTCAGCCTCATCCAGCGTGTCCAGGCCAAGCGCATGGACGAGCAGCGGGTAGACCTGGCCTCGGCCCAGGAGGAGGCAGCAGAGGAGCAGCAGAAGCCTGGGTCCAGCTAAGAACTGGGGTTTGCTTTGGGGGGGTTGTTTTGGTTTCATTTTGTTTTTTAAGAAGAAAAAAAAAACCCGAGTGCTCCTGTGCTACCACAGACTTGTCCCAGGAGCCGTCCCAGGACACGGGGAGCTGCTGCTCCAGGGAGGCAGCGTTACAGGAAGGCCCCACAGGATGGGGGACAGTTTTTAAACAAGGGTTTTTTTAAGGACACGCAGCCGCTGTAACACTGGGCACAGCACGAGGGAAGAAGATTTTGGCAGCCCCCTTTGCTTATCACCTAAAACTCCAGTCCAGGAACAGGAAAAATCCTGTCAGCCAAAGGAGAAGCTCAGAGTGGGTAATTAACTCCAGCCTTGATGTTTTTTATTTCCACAACACTTTTAATTTAATGGGGGAAGAGAAGAGCACCTTCTCCAGTTTGAAGTCCTCCTGTCTTGTCTGCATCACGAGGTGACACAAATTCCTCTGGATCCTTCCCTGGAACGTCTTGTTCAGCTTTGCTGTTTCTACAGGAGGAAACGAGCCCAAGTCAGAGGCTCCACTGCTCCTTTTAAACCTCCCCCCTTGTCCCAGCTGCACTCACGGTCCCACACACCCTCCAGTTTATTTTGGTTTGCTGAGGACTCTGCAGTGAGCCCTGTGACCCCGCTGTGCCTCCCCCGCCGCGGTCCTGTGCAGAGCTGTACCGGGACCCTCCGAGCTGGAGCAAGACCTTGCTCAACCTGAGCTTTAGTGGAATTTGGTCACCTCTGGAGAGCAGCCTCCGCCTGGGACAGAGCCTGAAAGGCAACTGCCAGCTGCACAGTCCCTGCTGCAGCCCTGGGACAGGGGCCTGCGCCTGGGAGGGGAGGGAGGAAATCTCTGCCCATCTGTTCAGCGCCAGGCGAAGGTGGGCAGCTCCTGGCTCCTGGCACCGCTGAGCCACAGGCTCCAGCAGGATTGTCCCGTGTGCAGGTGAGTGTGCCCGAGGCAGAACCCTGCCTTCGGCAATGACCTGCTTCATTTTCTGTCCACGGCCCATCAGGAGAGCAAGCAGGACCATCCCCTCCTCCCTTTTGTGTCCAACAGCCCTCACCTCCCCTTGTTTCTCCCCAAATCAGTGCTGAGCTTCTCCCCGTCCCTGCTGGTCCCGGCAGAGCTGCTCTCGGCACAGCACTCCAGTTTTGCCCCAGTCTGTTTCCACTAACTGCAGCCTCCCCAGAGCTGCAGAGTGGGTGCTGGCTGGGGAGTCAGTTCCAACCCCCACACAAGTGCAAGGGTCTGCATTTACCTTCATTCCTTACCCTTTTGGAACGGCTGGAAAAGCAAGCCCGGGGAGGAGGGAGCAGGGGTCTAATGTCAGGAGGTGGAGTATTTTTCCTTTGCTTGACCAGACAGGCTCTCTTGGACTTCAGCAACTCCAGTAACGAGTCCTGCCAAAGCAGATACGTTCCTGTAGAGAACAAATCAGCACTTTCTATTTGACGTGCATTTTGATGGAAACATTTCCAACCAGCAGTTAAGACTTTTAGACCAGTGATGCTGCTCACAGGGCACTTACCCTGCCTGACTGACCACGTGGAGGGGCAGCTGCATTTCACCCCCTGCCCAGGAGCACTCGACGGCTCGGCCGAGGCTCAGCTCCTCCCTGGGGCCACCCAGGGCCCTGGAGAAGGGATTGGAGAACCTGCCCAGCCACCTACAGAACTTGTGTTGGTAAAGAGGAGGAAGACATTGAAGATGAAGATGACTTGACCAGCTGCAGGCTGGGGCCTGTGCAGCTCTCAGCCAGGTGGCGAACTGGAATCTGACCGTTAAGCTTTCAGAGGTGTTAATTATTTGCCATATACTTGAATGTATGAGCTTATTTATTTTTTACATGTGCATTTGCTAATGTCATTTTAATGGGGAAATTTCCAACCCACAGGTACTTTTTTTTTCTAAAAAATAATCTGCCAAATGAATTAATATATTAGAAATGAATACAGCTGAAGGGGAAGGGGGGGTTTGTGCTTAATAAATATTTGTGTCTAAGCTTCAGTGACAGAAATTCATTTCCATTATTTCTTGGCCAGCTTTGCCGAGAGCGGAGCTAATGGTGGCCCTTTGGGATGGGATTGGGGGTGGGTGCTGCAAATTTTGTGGCAGATACCACCACAGGTAAGTGGTAAGAAAAGGATGTAGGTATCCCTTTCTGTAAAGAGCACACAGGTCTTTTAGGCAGCAGCACCATCCCCAGCTCTGTGTGTCTCAAACGCACAGCATGGATGTGACTGTGTGGCTGTGGAGGGAGACACAGAGCCCTGAGTGTTCCCTGTCTGGAGCATCAGCCCAAGCCCCGACGTTACGAGGGCGCCAGGGCAGACACAGCCCTGCAGTGGCTGAGAAAAGACCGGCTTGAGCTCTCCTCTAGGAACATGGCTGAGCCTTTCCTCTCACCGTGTCCCTGTGCCAGTGGGCCTGAGAGCAGCAGATTTTGGATCCTGAGCCCTGTGAGGATAAAGCCAAGTCACAGCTGGTCTTCCCACGCCTGGCTAACTTGTGCTGCCCACTGCCAGTCAAAGAGCAAGGACTAATGAAGAGCCATCAGCTCATTCTCATGCCTCTTGGTGCCTGGCTGTGTGCTACAAGTCTCTGTGTGTGACTTGGGGACAGAACCATGCCCCCAGGTACACAAAGGATAGAGGCTTGGATTCCCGGGAACAGGTGAAATCCCTGTGAGTGAGTGATGGGGCCTCACCTGCGGTCTCTCTCTGTCCTTAGCAGCTGGGGAAGAGAGGGCACACTCTCCAGTAAATGGTCTCTCCCTCAGAGCACCTGCCAAACAGAAAAAAAAAGAGCCACTGTGAGCAGGAGGGAGTCCCCAGAGCAGCTCACAGCCTGCAATGGCTGCTGCTCCCCTGTACCCTGCAGCAGTGGAGCCAGCAGTGTGCCCGTGTCCAGCACCAGCCCTCCCCTCTCCCCACACCGAGGTGCCCAGGCCCCTACAGCTCGGTCCCTGCAGGGACACGCTCTCGGATGCTGACACCCGCTGGAGAGACGCGGGATCGCTGGGGCCTGTTTGGCTTTGGATCCTAGAGAGCTCCTGCTGCAGCTGGGAACTGCGAGTTCTGCCCCCAGCGCAGGGCTGGAGGTGACAAAGAACGCTAAAAAAAAAAAAAAAACAGCAAAAAAAACCCCAAACCCACAAGACACTGCTCTCTCCTCCTCGGCTACACACAGGCCCTGAGAGGCGCCTGGGAGCCAGGGCTGATGTCAGGCCCATGGGGATCTTTGTGTTGCTCATCTGCCCGGTCACGTCAGGGCTGAGTCTCTGCACTTATCCCTCCCCAGGGCCTCGTGCTGTTACTGCTCCAGCCACCATCGATCTCCATCCAGCTGGAGAGGCTCTCGGCCGGGCCCGGAGCACCCAGGCACTGAAAATGTCAGCCTGGAGCTTTGGGGAGCTCTCCAGGGCAATCTCCTGGGACCCCGCTAGGCCAGGACACAGCTGTGGGCTAACTTAACCCCTGCGTGGCTTTGCAGTAAGGCAGGGCCAGCCCCACCTGGGGACACAGTGGGGACAGATGCACGCAGGGTTGTGAGCAGAGGGCTCACTCAGCCTCACCGTGCCCCTGCAGTAGGACCTGGAGGCCCAGAACCCACCGACATCAGACCCTGTGCAAGCAGCACAAACACACGGTGATTCATTTCACAGCCCTCTGTGTCCCTCCTCACTGCTGCTACAAATAAAAAAACCAAAACCATACCTGCCCAATGGCCACATCAGCAGGCTGGCAAATCCCCAGGGAGGCTCTCAAGTGACTCCTTGGTACAGCTGAGCCCTCCGTGGCACGTCCAGGCATGGTGGGGTTTAGACCTGCTGTCTCCGTGCAGGGAGCAGGAAGCACAGCCCCTGCACAGCCAACACAACACCTTCATGCACACGGGCAGCAAAAAAGCAGCAGGAGGTTATGTCATGTCAGGTGTCCCCAGCAAACGACCCTCCACACCCCAGCACCCCTCTTGGGCCTGCCCTCAGCAAGTCACCCCAGCCCCACAGGGCCCCCATCTCCCCCCAACACCACTACCTCCCCACCCAGCACCGGCCACACCACCAGTAACCCTCAGAGAAACAGACACAACCCAGCAGAGTCCCCCCCGAGCTGGATTAACACTGGAATTTGGCTGCGCTACAAATGGGGGATTTGCTCAAAGAGGCAGAAAACAAGAGGCAAAGTATTGGCCATTTTGCAGAAAAGCTCGTGGGCCAGGATTCAGAAACAGGATCCCTCCCTTAACAGCCACAGTGAAACGTGTCAAGGAATGTGCAAACAGCTTTATGTTTGCCATCCAGCCTGTGAATGCTGCTTTGGCATCGCCCTACACTTCCCCTTGAAATCACCACCGCTCCTCTGTGCCACAAACACTTACCCTGGGCAGCTGCACCAGGACTTCATGGCTCCTTTTTTTCCCATCTTAGTTCAGGAGAAAGGCTCCTTCTCTTCTCCCTGCTCCCTCCTCTTTGGCTAAAGCACAGTCTGCTGGGCTCCTCCCAGACAAAGCACACTCACCTCTGACTTTCAAGAACAAACACACTTTCCTGTGACATATTTTCCAGGAAAAAAAAACAACAACCCACCTTCAAAAGGGAGCACAAAATTCCTTTTTTACCTGCAAGCTATTAGCAGCCCCACCCCCTGCAAACCCCTGCCTCCTCCTCCTCCTCTTCTGTCCACAGTGTTGGCCTGAACCTTCAGAGCAGCAGCAAAACCTTCCAGCCTCAGCTCTGGGTGCTGCAGAGCCAGGCACCCTCTCCTGCATAGGGAGCAGAGGACACTGGACTAAGGAACCACCAAAATCCTGAAAAGCCAACATGGACAGACTTTGCTATAGTTTTTATTGTTAACACAGCAAAAAACTAGCACCCCCTCTTTTGTAGCCGGGGCACAGTAACAGGTAAGAAAGGTAAGGAGACAGCATAAAAAAGTCAGGTTGTAAATGAACTGTTTCCAAGGCAACACGGATCCTGCACCAGCTGCTCCCTTCCACCCCAGCAAAGGTGTTAGCACAAAGGAAGCAAAATGCTAATTTTCAGATAAAAAGTAATAAAATAACCTCTCTTCCAGCAGAGTGCTAATACAGGCCAGCAACTCACAACAGGGTGAGCACATTGCAATGTTTCGAGATGCAAGCCTCCCATTTCTTAATTAATAAATAAATGGGTCACTCTAGCACCTAGTTGTTTCAGAGCTGTATTTCACCAGGATCTGAAGACGCACGAGCCACCCAAGGGATGAAGTTCCTGCCCCTCAACTCTGTTTCATCACCATGAACTCACGTACCAACAGGAAAACACAACGGCTTTCCTGTCACCTGACCCATGCTTGCAAAACATATACAATTACTATGAACGCTTCAGATGAATGAAGTAAAATCATTAATACTCATTAATACATGTAATCCCCTCCCTGAATACTCAGCTGATTAAGGACTACAAGCACCTGGACATGCCTGGCTGAAAGAACTGGGTTCTTTCAAAGGCAAAGTGGGGTTTTACTGCTCTCTGCAGCTTGCTAATGAGAGAAGGGCTCAGTGTTTGGGAGAAGGCAGTGGGTCCAAGCTGAAACAGCAAATTTCAGTTCGGTGTTGGGCTTTTTTTCACCATGGGATTAGTCAAATACCAGAACAGGGGTCCAAAAAGGTTGTGGGATCTCCAGCCTCAGAGATATTCAAGACAAACCCTGAGCATCCTCCTCTGAACAAGAGGGTTGAACTAGAAACTTCCTTCCAATCTGAATTATTCTTTGATTGCGGATTTAAAACTGTAAGACAGCAGATACTTCACTGTACTTCAGGCTAATAGACCTTGAGAGAAGTTAAACTTTCATGCAGGCGGAGGAATAAAGCCCTAACAAAGTGCACTATGATCACCTCACTGCCCAATTCATCGCTATCTTGAGTGTTATATGCTGGCAAAAAACCTACATTTTTAATTTATTACATTAATTTTTCTTCTAACTCATCTTAACATGCACCAGTAGCATTAATAAGCACTTCAGTATCTGTCAAGTAACTCCAAGACAACTTTCTAGGTGCCCTACTTATCTCCAACACGCTTCACAACTACAAATTTTGCCTGCACACCCATCCTCCCCCTCACCCCTGAGGAAATTGCCCAATCCCAGCACCAGGAGCCACTCACCGATGTGTCACCCCGAGCGTGGGGGCTGATGCTCACGCTGTGACCCACAGAGGACTTTCAGCCCTGCTGTGACCCTCCTGCAGGGTGGTTTTGGCTTTGCAAACTCACATGGAGTTGGGACAGGTCTCCTCAGGTGTTATCAATTGCTGCTTTGCCACCAGCTGCTGCCGTGCAACACCTGTGCCAGGAGACATCGCTAAAACCTCCAGCTGCACCTCGCTAGGCCAAAGCACATGGACAAAGAATTACCAGCTTCCCTTCTCAGCAGAAAACAAAGCTTCTGACACTGTTGAAGCACTGAGACTTGCCTAAAATTCAGCAAAACAAGCACCAGGAAAAATATCCCCACTCCATCTCTAAAAACATTAGCTTGATCAAAGGCAAAATTACGCAAGACACAACAGAGAAAGACCAATGCCCGAATTTATTTTAAACACAGAAATTTCCCACTGAAATCAGGGAATAAAGGTTAAAAGTCTCTCTTGCCATCAGCAGAACGACACAAATCCCACTCGTCAGGTCTGTCCTTTGCTGCCAGTCTCTGGGGGATCTTCCCCGCTTTCTCCCTCCGTGAGCTGACTTTGAGACCCGGTATCTGCCGAGCTTTCCAGCAGCAGTTCCAAGGCTTCCTCACCAGCCACACGTCTCACCTTCTCCCCTTTGGCTGCCAGGATTTCCTCGATATTCCTTAACAGCGATTTGAAAACCAAGAGTGACACCACAGCAAAGGCCAGACCCAAGCACAGGCTCACCCCTTTGCTCCCAAATCACACACGAGTGTGACCACAGTATTTCTCTATAAAGAGTTTGGGGAGCAGATAAAACCACCCAAACCTTCTGGGACTATTTTCCTCCATTAGGATCAATAATTTAGCAATTACGGCTAAACAGAAATTTTTAAAGGTATCTCAGGGAGTTAGAAATCATTGAAATTCAGCAGCAGATGGGTGTATGTTTGAGATGCCTAGGGAGGGAAACCTAGCAGTGATGTGATAAAGCCTGAGGGAGCACTGAGCAGCCCACAGGCAGTAATTCACCTGCTGGCACCAGCAAAGTTGCCCATGTCACAGCTTTACAGCACTTATTTGGATGCTGGGTAGCGACGGGCAAGTTACAGGCCATTATAAAGCTTTATGCACTTTAAGAAATTGGATAAAACAGAATCACACCCAGCAAAAGCTCTGTTTATCTCTGAACCTCGTTTTAAAAGCATCAAAGAAACACCACACTGGCCCAGGAGGACCCCACCAAGGCTCAGCAGCCCCTTCCCCTCGGCGCAGGGGCGCTGCCGGAGCACCTACCTCTTCCCCTCCAGGTCGGAGAACCAGCCCAGGTTGTCGGCCATGAGGTGGTGGTTGCCGCAGCCGGGACATGTCACGATCACCACCCCTTTATGGTAGGCTGCCTTGGAGATGGTCTTTGCTGACCGGGTCTGGCAGACCTGCAGAGCGAACAAAGCGGATTTTTATGACCACGCAGCCCCTCCACCTTATAAGTGAAAAAAACCCTATTTTATTTACCTGATTAAAAGGCTTCTTTCCCCCCTCCCTCACCTCTAGCGATTGCACTCGCGTTACCCTGCCCTGTGGCTTCGCACTGAGGCGCCGCCCGCACAGAGGCCTCGTCTCTGGGAAGCGCCGTTTCCCTCACCCGCCGCCCCCCGCCCCGCCGCCGCCGCTCACCTTGCAGGTGTACACCAGGCGGTAGTGCGTGGCCGGTGGTTGCCCCGGGACGGCGGCTGTGCAGAGCGGGCGG